GAACCCCCACCCCCACTTTTTCAACAATTTTTTTTTCTTTTAATGATGTAGAAAAAGTATTTTCTTTCATTTCAATAAAATAAGTACTTTCATGTCATGATGTAGAAAAAGTATTTTCTTTTTCACAAAAGGAGTACTTTCTTTTCATGTTGTAAAAAAGATATTTTCTTTTGTTCCAACAAAAGTAGTATTTTCTTTTCATGATGTAGAAAAAGTATTTTCTTTTTCACAAAATGGTACTTTCTTTTCCTGTGGTAGAATCATGATTGGGTCAAGATGGGCTAAGTAATGGGTCATAGCCCAACCCGCCCAATTTGACGCAACTTTTGTTCTTTCTTTTTAAATATATAAATAAGCATTTTCAACCAAATATTCACAAACAAGTGTTCATAATTATTACATATTACAAGAAGATGAATTTTTCTAATTTTTACTATCACAAAATTTTTATATTTCTTGAATTGTCCAAGTGACATTACTTCACTTAACAATTTTCTTCTTTTCCATATAAGTACAATTTAAATAGCATAAATTTTCCTATAAAATTAAACTTTTTAAAGTCATTTTCCAACTGAAATGACAAGATTCCAAAAATTAGACAACGTGGAAGTGATATCAAATAGTAATACTTTAGTATCGTTACTGGAGCTCACTTTGTTTAGCCTTGGTTTAAAGTTTGTGTACAGATGGGTTTAGTTTGGGCTATCTCACGGGTTGACTTTGGGCTAGCTTTTGTCATGGGTCAAAATGGGTTATGCCCAAATCAACCCATCAGCAGAAATGTTTCCTGCCCAACCTGTTAAACACTGGGTTGGTTGGGCAGGTCATTTGGGTTTGGGCTGCATTTGCCAGCCCTACATGTGTTGGCATGTAATATTCGACAAGATTGGATCATATCCGACTAAGGTGAAAGTAACATACGGAGGATAAAAAGAGAGAAGTTTGTCTGAAGCTTGATATACTTTGACCATGTCCTATGTAAACCTTCAAATGCACTAACCAACAAAAGTGATACTATGATGATTGAAGGTGCAAATAGTGGGGATGAGACAGACCTAAAATCACATGAAGTAAAGTGCCTCAAAAGATCTACAATCTCTCTCAAAATCATTGGATACTTAACTAAGAATAGTACGCAAAGTAAAAATTTAATATAGACAATACTGACTAGTTGTGATTGAGGCATAATTAAACAACTAGTTTGGGATTCATATAGTCGACCCCTCAATAGTGTTGGGATTCATACAGTCGGCCCTCAACGACCAACTAGTCTGGAATTGAGGCATGATTTAACGACTTCTCAATGTCAATATCATCATAAATATGAGAGGAAGTTGCCTTAAATGGTTGTCCATAACATATATGTATTTCCATATGGACTAATCATAGTGTGACACTGATGATTGAAGGGGAAAAAGGAATGAAGTAGATTTAAAATCGACAGAAAACGATGTTGCCACAAAAGACGTAAGGTTTATTGGAAATAATGCAGGCTTAGCTAAGAACATAACACGATGGATATAAAATCCATATAGGCAATATCAACTAGTTTGCGATTAAGACTTGGTTATTATTATTACACTTGAATTAGGTCCACTGTTTAACACTAGTCTTTTTAGAAATTTGTATGTCAGTGTCAAAATAAGGTTGAGATTTCGAGAACCTTTGGCTTTAGAAAATTCTCAACTGGTCTAATAAATAAAGTATTTATTGGAATGAAAAGGACCCAAATAGAGCGCAATATACAGAGGATTCACATAATCGACCCTAACTAGTTTGGCATTGAGGTTGACAGACCGATTGATTTGATATACATGTTTCATCTACAACATCCAATTAATTGTTGATTAAGTTCAGAAAGAAAACTGTGAAAAACAATTGAGTAGTACATGTATATATTATTTGTCACATAATATAGTGCATCTTACTAGATCCATTTACTATATTCTATTAGAAGTATTTCTTGTTTATCTAAAAGCATCACATCACCAAATAACCAAAAAGGTATTTTAGTGTTTTTTTTCTTTCTTTTTTTGAGAATTTCTCATTTTCGGATCATATGCACGCATATTGCATTAATAGAGATAAGCTACTGCAGGGAAATATGTCCACAAAGGAACACTACCTTGCAAGTCAGAACCTTGCTGTGGCTCATTCTCTTTCTCTGAATCGGAGCATAATCTATTGTCTATTACCACCCTTCCCAGAATCTCATCATTTTCTGCTCTCCCTTCAGCTACAGCTCTCAGGGTCTCTTGTGGGGTCGCCTTCTGGCACAAAGTTCTCATCCTTAGTCTTTCAAAGAGCTGAGAGCGCAAAGATGCTTCAAGGAGTAAAGAATCCTCAGAAATAGTCACTGCTGATTGCCCCTCTGATGCATTATTCATACTTTTCTCCATATCAACACTAGATTTTGCCTTTCCTTGATAGTCTGGACTGTTTTCTGGAGATTTATACTCGGTGAGAAATGTCTCTTCGTCCACATTTTGAGACATAATAACATCCTCAGAAGGGGAGCACGGGTCATTTGCATCATTATCTTCCTTATGAGGCTCGAATGTAATACCATCAGGCTCGGGATCAGATGCCAAATTGTAATGCTCTTGATCACTAGAGACATTTTGAAAAGCAACATTGTTTGGATGGATATTTAAATTGCATCTATATTGATTGTTAAAGTCGAATATAGGCTGTACTGCACAGCTTGAACTGGGAATCAAATGCACGTTAACATCAGAAATTGCAGGTACGGGGCCCAACCCAATTCCACTTTTGTCAGGAAACCCAGAAGACAGTAACAAATTTGGATTTCCCATCATAAGATCTCGAAGCTGGGCTGAATATTGTTCTCTTTTATTGTATAGGTGAGAGCATCTAGCATTAGCTTCAAGCAAGGCCCTTTGAGCCTTTCGGTAAGATTTCAGAGCATTTCTTTCTTCAACCTCACACTTGTGCCGATATTCCTGAGCTTCTCCCAGCTCCTTATCATGAAATTCTTCTAAATGAAACAACGACTGTAAGTCTATGCTGCTACTCCCACAAATATTTAGCTTGTCACAGCTGTTCCAAATGCTTGGAAAGTTCAGAGATGTCTTTTGCAAGGAGAAAAAGAACTATCAGAAATATGCAATTTTACACTTTGGTTTTAGAAAAAGGAGACAAAAAACACGTGAAAGAGGAAGTCAGGAAAAAACCGAAACATACAACATTGGCACCAAAATTGCCGCCTGCACCATTGGTCGAGGCTGCAATAACATTAGAATCTGGAGCGGGCTTCTGTGCGCTTCCATTAGATCTGCCTAGATTGCTGTCACTTTCTGCAGTTACTTTAACATCAACACGCCCAGAAGTCACTTTCTTCTGTAAAAGAGGCTGTCTGCACTGACCACTAAGCTCACTGGCATGCTTGGTCTTGACCTTAGAATGAAAAAACGAAAAACATAACAACTATCCATGAAGAAGTATACTATAACAATCAAATGCAAATGAAGCTAACACAAGTTGACAAGAGACGACAGAATACCCGCTTTATAAGTTCATGGAAATTCGATAAATATGCAATATAAAGCTTGTTTTGACTACATATCCTCCATATAAAAAACCCTATGATATCACCATAATATACAGCTTAAACTATATAGATGACTAGGAAAATCAAGTGTTTCTACTTCGTATGATCAACCTTTTAGAAAAGAAAAAAGACATACTTCTCGAGAAAGGCATTTCACTTGCAAAATAAGTTTTAACTCTGTGACTTGGCCCAATGCAGAAAGTAAAAGGCAATTTATATAGATCGACATTTTAGCTCCTTCAACTTAATGATAGTTCTCTGAACTAAATACTAAGCCTACTTACCCACCCCCACCCCCTAAAAACCCCCAGAAAAAGGAAAAGGAAAAAGAAAAACTGATTAGGAGAACCTGATAATGTAACAAACTGAGAAAGTACAAGCTCTATTTACAAGTCGTGTCTTTGATGCCAAGAGGAAACATTGTTGCATTGACGGGCCAATCACCAAAAATCAAACTGATGACTAATACTTATTATAAGGCTTTTATCAGGCTCTATCAATGTTTTATCAAACCTATCTTGAAACAAGCACCTTATACTTATAATATCTCCGCATGACACTTACATTAAGAATCTTTGAAAGGCTAAGATAGTTAACTCAATCCACTTATCACAGAAACTTTATCTTCACTATTTTACCTCTGAAGAATATTGTCTTCTAAGTGCAGTATGTGCAGTGAAGAGAGGGGGGAAACTTTTACTAAATGAAAGACTTTTGGGCTAGTGAAACTAGATTCAAATGTCCACACAAAGGCTCCATGAGCCAAAACAATACTCAACCAGTCATTCAATGCCCATCCTCGAGGCTGGTGTAACACATTGACAACCAGATGGAGATATGGTGATATATTCAAGAATTTACCAATTTATTGGCAGCTTTACTTGCAACTTCTTTTGACGAATTGTTGAAATTCTGATTGTGATTCCTTACGGCATCTATACCTGTGGCATTAAGCTCATTTGAATTAGACATCCACTAATGTCATTAGAAGAAAGCTGCTCGTATACACAAAATAGAGTAATGAGTACCATCTTTCAGAGAGAGAGGTGGATTTGCTGAAGAAGCACAGCCCTGATACTCATTTTGTTTCAGTTGTCCAGCAAGGACTGAGCAAGTTGGATATTTTTCCCCATGACTGCTATCATCAGCTCGTTCCAGTTGATCGGAATCCTTTAATGCACACATTTCTGATCTTATGACCATAGACGTAATTTCTTGGGAGTTTGAGAAACCCCAACTTGGATTCTCTGAAACAATTTTTTGGCGTTTGTTGTCTGGTTCTTTTAGTTCTTGCAAATAATCATAAGTAGTTTCTTTGGATGCCCTCACCACCAAATTCCTTTTATTGACAAGATTTCTATCCCTACATGAAGCTGAAGTTAGGTTTGTGGTATTCTGAGATCTCTTCAGATTCAATTNCTTGGGAGTTTGAGAAACCCCAACTTGGATCCTCTGAAACAATTTTTTGGCGTTTGTTGTCTGGTTCTTTTAGTTCTTGCAAATAATCATAAGTAGTTTCTTTGGATGCCCTCACCACCAAATTCCTTTTATTGACAAGATTTCTATCCCTACATGAAGCTGAAGTTAGGTTTGTGGTATTCTGAGATCTCTTAAGATTCAATTGACTCTCCCGAATCGCGATCAAGTGGCGCAAGTCATGCAATTCGCTAGAGTTCGAATGTACATTTGTTTTTTTCCTATGGTCAAGGATAGCTACTTTATTTGAGTTGTTAAAGTTTCTCATACTATGCAAGTGCCCAACATTTCCATAAGTGCCTCCTTTAATTTTGGTGAATGAAGACGCAGGCCCTTTTCTAGACATCAAATTTGCGTCCTTTCTAGTAATCTTGTGCAATTTATGAGATCTTCGAGAAGCAGGTGCTGGTGGTTTATTACTTCTATCCGCAGCCGAGGTTCGGTTTTTACTTACTGAGATTTTCTTCTGTCCAGAATTTTCACACTCACTACCACTGTCATCTGAGAAGCTTATCAGAAATGGCACAAAATGCTCTCGGTTCTTTTTAGAGCTCTTCGGATGATCTGATTCTGGAAGAGTTCCTGAAGGCACATCAATCGAGCAACCCATTTTACTGGAAGAAGTACATTTTTCTGCAAAATATACAGGAAAACAAGACGCAACAATATAGCAAATAAGTCGCCGGACAGTTAGATAAGCGAGAAAAGTAATTTAAGACCTGACGAAATAAGAGGTAAGTTCCACAGATTAAAAAATGTAGAACTAGAAGAATCCTTAATGCATACATAAAAGAAAAAAAAAAAAAAAAAGACTATGAATTAAGGAAGGAGAAGAGTTGTACCAAACGAACAAAAAACTACCAGAGTAAGTCAATTTTAGCATTCACACACAGAGAGTGAACTTAACAACGATGTGCATATATGCTGACGAGATGATTTGATCAAAAGTTGTCAACAGCCATTCCTCATTGGTAGATGAAACCAAGGGTTCAAAATATAAATAAATGTTTTAATACTCGAGCTTTAGGACATACCTGCCTGGGTATCCTGGGAATTCTCATTCACTGTATCAATGTGAACCTGCTGCTCCAGTGGAGCAGCACTGGTGCTCGTAAGCTGATCGGTGGAACAAATATTTTGATCCTGTGGAAAACAATCTACAATCAACTCAACACTGTTGTAGCTTACTAATCTAGAGCAGCTTCTATTTGCCCCATGAAAATTACTTACATATTCACCATAGCAGAAACTCACTAACAAATACAGTTCAGGAGGACTCAAAAGCAACATGAAAGTGAAAGAAAGGAAACCGAGGGGATAAGTTTTACTTCTTAGGCAATAGCAACTAAATTCAAGAAGGTTAAGGAAAGACTATCAGGAAAGAAACTGCACCCAATGGTGTGGCCTAGCAGTCAAATCTCGGAGGCAAGAAAACACTAGCTAATTTCTCCTCATCTGCCTACATCATGGTAGCCAGAGTTACCCTGTATTTCTGCTGGTGGGAGACTGGGAGCAACAAATACCCATTGAAACAATTGAACTACGCTCAATCTGGTCCAACCACCACCATCATTAAAAAAAAGTAAAAAATATCTAAACCCTAATTAATCCTACAAAGACAAATTATTGAGTATTAGAATGAAAGGGATGTAAGGGAACAGAAATTGAGGATATACAGATTGGGATTGAGGTGTGATGGTTGTATGTAGCGGTGTATTTTCTCAGCCTTTACACTTTGGGAAGTTAAATTGCTAAAACAAAAGCTGTTGTACACGAAATTATGCAAGTGTGCGTCTGAAAAATGATGAATTTAAACATATACTTAACAAAATGAGCTGTATTCTGAAGCAAATGGATTAAATTAATATCTATACATTAGAAATAGAGGTAAACGAGAAGGGTTTTTACATACGCCGTCGTCGTATGAAGAGAGTTCTCCTTCTTCTCTGGTTTCTGAAGAATCGTTCTTCAGAAAAGAGCTCTCTCCTCTTACTCCTCCTCCTTCCTCACTAGGGTTTTCCATTGGGTGCTGTACTACGTTTTCACTCTGCTCGTCGATATTCTCCATTTCAACCCAAATCTCTCTCTCTCTCTCTCAAACACACACACTCTCCTCACGCGCGTATTTATGGAAAATGGGGAATCTGCTTCTGTGCAATGGCGGTTGTGAGGGACTCCGGGGGTTGACGTAATTGCAGTCTATAACTGTAAGAGAATTCAGGTGGTACTGGTACCATTCTGCGGGTTTTAACAAAAATTGTCCATTCAATTTGGAGGGAATTTTGCAGTTTTAATCTCTAAAATATCAAATAAAATTAGGATGTTCGTTCTTGTGATATCTAGTACTAGTATCTAGTTAAAAATACGAATTGAATTCTTTACACATTTAACAAATTATTCATCGTTAAACTATTTTATTATCTATCTTAATCAAAATCTGAAATGTTAGAACATATTTGATGATAATATAGCTTAGAAACAATTTTAATATAGTATATTTCTGTTTACCCTCAAAGTCGGATAACAATTAAATTTATACGGGGTTTTAAGGATATGTGATCTAACTTGATACAAATTGAGAAAATCAAATTAATATTGAAATCAATGAACAAAAAGTAAATGCAAAACCACACAAGTTGAACAACTGTGGCCTTGAAAGTTGGTCACCCTCGAGTCAAAAGTGCCTTAATCGGTATCGGAACAGAATGATAAGATAATAAGAACTAGTAATAACAGTTTATTGCTTTGGAATGCTTGTTACAATGCCTCTTACAAACAATCACACCCCCTTTATATAGTAGAAGAGTCCTACATTAGATACAGTTCTATCAAAGGTAAGGAATCTCATGATTTGCTAATTAATCGATCTCTCATTTATATGTGCCGAGATTCACACCGTGATATCCATACGGTTGCGGATATTTCGGCCTTCCATTATTCCGTCCGATAGTGTTTCCTCGAGCTTATTCGGAGTCGGGGTCGGTTTCGGAGTCACAGGCTCGATGATCTTGAAGATGTATGTTGTAACTTCGTACCTTGGTTCGATGGAACTCGGGGTCAATCTTCAACCTATCACATTTCAGTCCCGATCTGTCATGCAATGAATGAGCCCGGTTTCGACCGTATACAGATAGTCCCCTCGTTTTTTGGAGAGTAAACGACAAGAAACAATATGATCCCTCGATCTTCGTCTCGATACTTCCCGCTAGAAACGACAAAACAGACGAAACATCTCGTCAGTCACGTCTTAATGACATTAAATGTGCGTCAGTTGCTGGCCGGCCGTTACGAGTTTTGAATCGTTGCTTGCAAACTATAAATACATCCTCATTATCTCATTCAAACTTATACTTTCAAAACTTCTTCTACTTTTGTTCTTAAAAAATCTTTGCACTCTCTAGTACTTGTACCCAGATTTCTTGAGGTTTTTATAAGAACTCTCGTTTGTCTTTTCTCCAAACCATCAAGCGTAATCTGTTAACTTCCTCTTCTCCACCTTTATTCAAAAAGAAAAAATGGCATAGACTACTAAGATATTTCCACAAAAAGAAACTGCCTCTTCATCACGGTCGGGCGGTGAGGAATCGGCGGCGGAACCTCCTCTTGAATCGTTTATTCATGGTGGCTCGATCGATGCTTATTTTAAGGTGGAAAAAACCTCCTCGGTACCGAGTCGATGCGAGCCAGTCTCGAGGTATATATACTCGGTCACCGACGGTCTCCTCTCTAAGGTCAAGGAGGACTGCAACTGGGTTGGTAAGCACGTAGTGGTGCCTTCGCCCGAGAAAGCGATTACTACACACATGGAGGTTTTTTTAAGTGTTCACACTTATTCCTTCACGTTGGGTCCCTTGGTCCCAGTTATCATCGCCTTCTGTAAGAGGTACGAGGTGGCCCTCGGTCAAATGCATCCTTCTTCTGGAAGATAGTAATTCTCCTACGCTTATTCGTAAGCAAAATCGAGATGTGTCTTTTCAACATTGATCACCTCATGTGTCTGTACAGTCCCCACCTTTATCAGGGGGATTAATAAAACTTGACCGTCGGGCCACTAAGGCCTTATTCTCGATCATAGACGAGATTCGGGATCGAGGCTGGTTGGGCTGATTCGTTCGAGTGAAAACATCGGATTTAATCCCGGTAGAAGATGTGCCATTTCCCGATAAATGGAACATGAAACGTAAGTATAACCTTGCTTTTAAGATTTCGTTTATTGCTTTTGCTTTTCCTCCCTTCTTATCGGTGTTTCGTGGTGCAGCTGTTGCTCGGATGCCCGATGCAGTTCCTCGACTCAAGGAGTGAGTCGAGGGCATCGTGTCACAGAAGCCCTACTCCGAGCGTGCGTGGCACGAACTTTCAAAGGGTTAGTGGGGGGCTCGTTCCCACGGTGAGATTCTTTTGCTGAATGAATGATGCTTAATTTTCTTGTTGTGTTCCTTCTCACTTTTCCTTCCTTTGCAAACCTTCCCAAAGATGTTGAAATGAGGCCCCCGTCCGGAGATGAAGATATCCTCCCCCAATCACCTGCTTCAAGGCAGGATAAAGAGAAGAAAAGAAAAGGGTATAGTGCTCTGAAGGGCATACTCGGAGTGATATAAAAAGGCCGATAATGAGATTGTAGCCAGTTCATCCCAGATAGCGGATAGTGCTCTGAAGGGCATACCCGGAGTGATAGACCTCTTCGGTTCTCCATTGTTTATTGAGTCTATGATTGTCGATGCTTAGATGCTGAAAGAACGACCCATCGAAGAGCCACAAGGGGCGATAGACTCCTTTCAAAACTTCTTTGATGGCGTAGACTCTATTGCTACAGAGGATGTCACCGGGTTGAGTGATATACCGGTGCCTAAAAAAGTCTATCATCAGGGCCGAGTGGACCTGCCTCGAGCCCGAAACTAGTCAACTGGTGTTGATAACCAATTTTTCCCTCATATATTTTAAATATGCATATATATTTTCAAATAGCGCACATGCATTATTATTAGATTTACAAATGTCACAACCCAAAATCCACTAAGGGTCATGGTGGCGCCAGACAACGCTGTCAGGCAAGCCAACTGAAAATACTTAATTAAATTCCAATTTTAGTATTTGTTGAAATCGTTTTCCTTATACACTTAATAATAAATAATGAAATTTACAGAAATAACCACGGAGAATTTAACAAACTTAATATTGAATAATCCAAAAATCATCCCAGAACCCGGTGTCACAAGTGCATGAGCTATTTCTAGGAAGCAATACAATACAACATCCGTCCGGAATACAATGGACAGAAAGTAAATACAATACGCTGAAAGAGACTATACTAGCTGTGGGTCGCCTCGAGAAATGCAGCCCACCTAGTCCCCGTATCATCCACGCTGCTACGCCCAGTAGGCCACTAGAAGTACATGTGCATGTGCAACAAAAATGCATAGCAAGTGTAGCATGAGTACGAAAACAACGTGTACTCAGCAAGTATCCCGTCTAATCTCGAAGAAGTAGAGACGAGAGGTCCACTTTGACACTTGCTAGTGGTCCAATAATAATAGAGTGAAGATGTGAGGAAAACATGGATTTATCTAGCAATTATAACTCATAAAGCCGGAAAGCAGGTAACACTTTCTCAAATAATAAGGGATTCTCCAAGATCTACTTTTCATTATCTTTATCAATTTATATCGGGCCATGAAAGGCAATATCAACATTTAAAATTCTCAGGCCGCAATACAATCATGTGCATATCATGTCGAGGACGTACGACCGATCCAACAGAAAATAAATTGTGCACTGTCGAGGGTCAAACGACGCGAACCATAGATGCATCTATTTAATCTACTGAGGCGTTCGGCCCGTTCCGAAATTAAACACACACAGATAGTCAATCAAGAAGTCAACAGGAAACAATTATCCAAAGAAAAGCCAGTTCTCTTTTAAAGATTTTTTAAAATGAAGTTTTATCTTTTTAGAAATTCATTTACTAATTCAATGTGATTTAAGCAGATCAAACTATCAACATGATTACAATTAATCCAAGTATAGCATGCTTTTAGGTCCTAAACTACCCGGACAATAGCATAATAATAGCTACGTACGGACTCTCGTCACCTCGTGCGTGCGTAGCCCCCACAAAATAGGAGCATATAACCAATTAACTCACCTATGGGGACAATTTCCTCTTACAAGGTTAGAAAGGAGACTCACCTCGCTCCGAAGATCCATGACCAGCATTCCACGTCCTTCCGAAGACTCGAATCGATGCAAAATGCTCCAAAGCTAGCCAACAATTATGCAAATTCATTAATATCTACTCATTTACTCATTACAATCCAATATATAGCAATTCCTAACCCCGATCAAAAAGTTGACAAAATTTCCACGTGGCCGAATTCCAATTTTTTTCAAAGATAAAGTTTACCCATGAACTCACGAACTCAAATATATGATTTTCTCTTAATTTCATACCCAAAATCGTGGTCAAAATCCAAGATTATCAATTTTCTAGGTTTTCCTCAAACCCCCAAATTTCTACCCACTTACATGCTAAAATCCATACAAAATCAATATATTTAACTCAATATAGGGGGTTAGCTTACCTTATCGTTGATGATGAAAATCCCCTCTTGAAACTCTCCAAAAATCGCCCAAGCCAAGAAAATATGAGAGAAGATGGCCAAATCCCGATTTTTAAAAGAACTATTCTGCCTCCAGCACTTCCGCACCTGCGGTCCATTGACCGCTTCTGCGGCTCCACAGGTGCGGCTCTTCTACCGCTGCTGTGGATATCTCACCAGGCCTCCCTTCCACTTCTGCGATTCAACCGCCGCAGGTGCGGTTCCGCTTCTGCGGCTGCTCGACCGCATTTGCGGTCCCCTTCACTTTTGGTCCAAACCACATCTACGGCTCCTCTGGCCGCTTCTGCAGCTCCGCACCTGCGGCCCAATTCTCGCAGGTGCGGTTATGACAACAACCATCAACTTCAGCTTTCCAAAAATTCCATTTTCAATACGTTAACCATCCGGAATCCACCTGACGCCCCCGGGACCCCAACCAATCATACCAACCAGTCCCAAAACACATTACAGACTTGCTCGATGCCTCAAATCATATCAAACAATGCTAAAACCACGAATCGACCTCCAATCCAAGCTTTATGAACTTTAGGATTTCAAACTTCTACTTTCGATGTCTAAACCTATCAAATCACGTCCGATTGACTTCAAATTTTGCACACAAGTAATATTTGACATTACAAACCTACTCCAACTTCCAGAATTGGATTCCGACCCTTATATCAAAAGTTCCACTTCCGGTCAAACTTTTCAAAAACTTTCAAA